ACTAGGAGGTAGAGGTAAAAACAGTCTACAGGGATCACCATGGGATCAGCTCCCTTGAGGGGGATCTAATTTGTACTGCAATGGCTGCAGCTAGCTTCAGAGTGCTGCACTTCAACTGCTGGACTACCAAGGGGGCCTTCATTTTAGTTTTATATTTGTGCTTGCTCTGTATAAATTAGATCATACCATATATGTTTGTTACATACATGTAAATAATGAGTTTTTTTGGCAACACAGAATCATACATAGTTCTTTGCTTCTTAAATTGCAGGAATTCCTCCAAATTAGTTAGCATAGATCTGAAGTATTTTTTATAATGACAGTATGTTTCTCATATATTTGTTCTTTAATTTAATAATTTTCTCTGCTATTACAAAAATACTATATTAAACAGACTTATATGTAGGTATCTATAGATAGATTATTTATATACTCAGGATTTTATTTTTATGAGATAGATTATCTGGAAGGACAATGCCAAGTAAAAGCATATATGCACTTGAAATTTAAATTGATCTGTAAATTGGTTTTCCTAAAGGGCTGAGGTAATAGACATGTCACCTTTTTTCCCTGATTTTTTGACAAGTAGTGATTCGATTTAATAAAGTTGATGAATGTAAAAGAATCTTAATGTTAATTGTTTTTCTCTGATACAAACAGCAAGCATTTAGAGAAATTTGTTATTTATAAAAGCATTTTAGGCCCTCCCTGGTGGCGCAGCGGGTTAAAGCACAGCACAAAGAAGCTTAAGCCACTTCCGCATGAGTTCGATTCCCGCCTGCCCCTGGAGGAGACCACATGGCGTGGCAGACCTCTCCTGACCCGCCCGCTGCTCCCCTCAGCAGTGTACTTCGTCGATCTGCCTGTTCTGCACCCCACTCTGTCTCTGGTGAATCCTCTCACCCTCCGCGTCTCTGGCCTGTACCCCAGTTCTGTATGAATAAATAAATCTTTAAAAAAAAAAAAAAGCATTTTAATGACTTCATTGATATTTATTCTGCTCAGTTCTGATTTTATTCATCTTACTCTCAATGTGAATATTTGGCATATTTTAATATGAATACTTTATTAGTAATTAAGTTGCTAACATTCTACCCCCCCCCCAGACTATTGCTTGCTTCCTGTCTGTCTTTATGGTGTTTTCATAATATGAAATTTTTAAGTAATTTTTAAAAAAGATTTATTTATTTATGCATACAGAACTGGGGTACAGGCCACAAGTGCAGGGACAGTGAGAGGATTCTCCAGAGACAGAGTGGGAAGCAGAACAGGCCTATTGGCAAAGTACACTACTGAGGGGAGCAGTGGTTGGGTCAGAAGAGGTCCTGCTGTACCATGTGGTCACCTCCAGGACCAGGGATTGAACTCATGCTGAAGTGGCTTTTTAGCTTCTTAGTACTGTGCTTTAACCCACTGAGCCACCAGAAGTTTTAACAATTAGTTAACTGTTGTTAAGTTTTAACAATTAGTTAACTGTGGTTTCTTTATGTGGTGTGTGTGTGTGTGTGTGTGTGTGTGTGTGTGTGTGTGTGTGTGTGTGTGTGTGTGTGTGTGTGTGTGTGTGTGTGTGTGTAGAATTAGGGCTAGAAGTGCAGGGGAGAGGGAGGATGAGAGGATTCACCAAAGACAGAGTGGGTAGCAGAACAGGCAGATTTACTGAAATATATTGCCAAGGGGAACAGCAAGAAAGACAAGAGAAGTCTGCTGCGCTCTATGTGGGCTAGCAACCTAACTGGGGAATGAATATAGCTCTTGATTTAACCCAAGGCCACCGTAGAGACCCAATAGGGTATCTTTTTTTTTTTTTAAAGATTTATTTTAATCTAGTCAGTGGTGTCTAAGGGTTTTAGTTT